ATTGATGCTTTGTTCCACTTTCCTTTCAGAGGGAACTTTCTGCAACTTAAATATAATGAGCCCTGAAATACTGAGTATCCCCCATTGCCTGCAGGGTGGAGGGCAGCCTCCTAATAGTATGCGAGATGTTCCGCCCTTTAATTCCCATTTTCTGGTATTTACAACTAAATCCTTGCAGCTCCTGGAAAAAATTGTGGTTTCTCATATCTCCAAGTTCTCCTTAAATGGCACTTCTTCTGAGAAACCTCCTGGTCCTGGCTGTGGTAAAATGTGGACCACTGTGGCTCCCATAGAACTTTCTAGCAATTCTCAGAATTCAGGGTTGAAAATACATCTAATTTAAATATATATAAGAACTCTTCTGAAATCTCACACATAGAAAATGAACTGCCGTGAAGCACCATCACATTCAGGTACATCATATTCCAGCATCAGAGATGTTACCACCTTGAATGAATGCACATTTGAGACTTGATGAAATGACAGCTTCTCTCAGTGAGGACATTGTGATTTCTTACTTACGGATTAGCTTCAGACAAGCTTACAAGCCCCTCACATTTCAGGAAATGTGGGATTTTGTCCACCACCTCTCGTTGCACACACACCTCCAACCTTTTTGTTACCAGACAAACATGTTAGCTGTTTACACCACTCTGAAACTCCTTCTCTACTTTATAGCCACGCATGCACAAGATAGTTTTATGAATAAATCCAACTCCTGAGTCTGTCTCTAAGTCACATATATACATTGAAGTCATAACTGTTAGGTAGTCAGTTAGCTAAATGTGTCTTAGTTTATAGAATTCCTTGCTATATGTAAAAATTTTAGACTCTTCAGATGCATGAAACATCTTAACTTCATCATCATCATAATTCTGTTTTTTACATTGTAAAGTAGTGAGCATTTGCTGTGAACCAGTATGGGTGGCCAAGTGGGTTGGGAGCCACACTGCCATTCCAAAGGCATGTGGTTGTAAGGCATGAGCTGTTCCATGGGAGAGAGATGGACAGTCTTTTCCAGTGTGATTTATATCCCTGAGAACCTCCTGGAGCAGCAGCTGTGAGCTGATTCCATCTTGAAAGCAGTGAGTGAGCGAGCACATCTGTAATAGACTTTATGGAAATTGGTTTGTAGCAAACTACAGGTTCTTTATGAGATGTTACGAGGTTATGTTAATTTATGAGATGTTTATGAGTTTATATTAATAACCTGAGACCTGCCTATATATATATATTTGTTTCTCATTGTTGTGTACTATGGAGTCAGAACTGACCCTCCGGTGGCTTTTTAAAGGCAGTTAATCGAAAGGGAGGAGATTGCCCATCTTTCTCCCACAGAGCAGCTGATGGATTTTAACTGCATGCCTTTGGTATTGCAGCACAGTTTCTTACCACTAGGCAACCAGAGCTCCGTGTGTGTGTGTGTGTGTGTGTGTGTGTGTGTGTGTGTGTATGCACATATATATGAATGTGCATGTATTTACACACACATATGAATGTGTGTATGCACATACATATACATCGGTATACATATACATATGCACATACATATACATATACATTCATATATACATGCACAGATTTGTATAATCACGGTTTGTGTATTTGACAGAGTCTGAGGTTGTCTGGCTTTTCATTCTAAATCCTTATCCTCAGCTCAGTATTTTTACCATTCCTCCATACCAGATTCTTTTCATGTAAATAATCTCTGCTCCTTTCAAACTGGCATACTGCTCCGTGTGCCTGTTTTCTGGCACCTTTGTTTAGGGGCGAGCCGTCCCTCAGAAGAAAGGAGAAATCCTAGTGTTGCCCTTTCTTCAGGTTCTCTTTCCAGGTTGCTGCCCTGTTGGCCTTTGGTAAGTCCTCTTACAAACTCTTAAAGCATGTAGGTTATGTAGCGTTCCTGTAGACTTATTGGGGGGGGGGGAATCCCCAGCCAACAAACACATGTATGTTAGCTTGCTTTGTAATTTATCTTTTAATGCCTTTGTAGTGACTTTCCTATGTACTGCAAATGGAAATTTCATCTTTAACCTCTCTCTTCTTAAATTTCATTTTCATCTCATGAAAAATAGCCTAGCCGATGGTTTCTTTCTCTTTGGAGACTCTTCTGGGAATTTCCCTCAGCCTCTAACTGTGGCGATGTTCTCTTGGCTCTCTAGCATGGCTGTAAGTTTTAGAGGTTCAATTAGATGGCTTCTCCTCTCAGTTACTGTGGGGGAAAGTGACCAGCTCAAGTGTAGTGTCTTTACTGGCTGTCAGTCATGTTGGGAAGGCAGCTTCCATCTTTCTACTGTAAAGCTCAAAATCCCCATCTTCACATGCCTGTCCTCTTTCACAGCTGGGCTCCAACTTTTAATCAGGACCAAAAGGACAGCACAGGAGTATTTCTAGGGGGAGGTGGCAACAGTGACATCATTTTTCAAGGGTGGCTTTCAGTGGGGATGGACATCCTCTATGGGCTCACATCTGCCAGGTACCATCTGTGGCATGGGTTTTGATTATAGATTTGGAGATTGGTCTCCCACTCTTCCCCAGCACATTTCAATTCCTCTCAAACCTAGCCCACACTCATGTCAGTGGCTAGCAACCAAAGATCCGATTTGGGTCTCATCTTGGCTCAGTCCCAAGCTGTCTGACTTGGGGAAAATCCCTCCAGGACTCAGATTCTTCATTCCTAAAATGAGGGTATTAAAGGATTTCCAAGTCTAAAAATTGTGTAATCTATGTCGCTGCTAATTGGCTAGCGGGATGCTGATGCGACCATCTTTGCTGCCAGCCCCATCAGAGGGGCACAGGGTGGGATTGTTGTTCTCTCCACTAGCACAGGCTGAGTTCTCATGCCTGCACTTAACCCAATTGGTGAGCTGGTGTGCACTGGTACGGTGCACTGCAAATCCTGAGCTGCATCTTGGCAGGTGGAAAAATAGTCTTTGTTCTCTGTGCAGTGATCTGATTGAAAGTGGGGGAAAATGCTTTAGGCACCAGTAGGTTTTGAGGTTTCTGTGGTAATGTTGATTCAGGCGAGAAAGCCTTAGCAAAGAATTGAGACTTGAAGTCATAAATTGTAAAAATTACATTTTAATGTACTATACTGTTGGCGAGGAGAGTGGAGATTTAAAGAGCCCAACCTTTTTATAGTTTTTACATATGCTCAGTGGAACAACTAATGTGAAATAGTTTTGGGGGGATGCTAACAACAAAGCCATTATAAATGTCACTTCATTGTAGGGCGATAGTCAGTGGCCTTATGATTGTCTTAAAGAGAGAGAAAATTGAGAAGGAGTTTGGAAGCCTTCCATGTTCAAGCCTAACTTCATATGGAATGATTCTCTCTGTGGCTTCATGACCCCAACTCAGGTCTTTGCATTACCACATAAAATAAAATGAGTGAGATGTTAATTTTGCCTCTGACCTTATCTCAGTAAACATGGGTGATTTTTAAAAAATGGTTTCTTTGATTGCCATAACAAAAATGGATACTATTTTAAAATTTTGGCGTAGTAAGCACACTGTTGGAAGAGCTGCTTTCTCTGGATTTCTTCATCAACCATTAAGATTTAGGCTAAACAACTATTTATTGAGTGGAAGATGTGTGGAGTGTTTCCACCTAGGTGGCAGTAATGAGCTTTTTTATTGAGAGCCCCTATTGTGCAAACAAATTTGTCTTGAAGGGGATGCAACCTTAGAGGCAAGGATCATGAAACTTCATCTCACTACTTGGGGCATCTTTTCAGGAGGAAGAAGTCATTGACATTGTTTGGAGAAAGACGTCATCCTGGAAAGGTAGAGGGTTGGCGAGAGAGGGTCTGACCCTCAGTAAGATGCACTGGCGCAGTGTCTACCTCAGTGGGCATGAGTGTGACAGATGGTGAGGATGGTGCAGCCCAGGACACAGTGCAGGCGTGTTGTTCAGAACGAGTCTTAATCGGTTTGATGGCTGGCACCTGACAGCAGCTGCAACAATTGTGCCAGTTGTTACAGAGAGATGATGAGATATTAAATGACCCTACAGTGGGCCTCAAAGGATATGTCTTTGAGAAAGTGCAACCAGAGTGCTCCTTGGAGGCCAGCGTGACAAAGCTTCTTCTCATATACTTTAAGCGTGCCATTAGGAGAGGCTAGTCCTTGGAAAGGGACATCATGCTTGGAAAGGTGGAGGGTCAGTGAAGGAGAGGACTGATACAGTGACTGTGGCAGTGGGCTCAAGTGTGTTGGGATGAGAAGGGCAGCACCGGATAGAACAGGGTTCAGATCTGTAGTTCGTAAGGTCACTGTGAGTCATACTCAACTCAGTATCCTCTGACGACGACAACAACACCACCATTAGGCTTCAGATTTAGGTGAGGAGAGGAAAAAGTAATATTAAACACATGTGAAGCAATTATCAAACAGTGACAGGGCAAGTTTAGTGACATTGTTTGTATACAAGGGAGCTCTTGCTGCTTACTGGTAAGGATTTGCACTGTCAACCCAAAAGCACGAGGTTCAGATCTGTCAGCTGCTCCTGGAGGGTTAGCAACAGATTGGTTCCAACTAGATAGAACATAACAACAAACAAGAATGATATAAATGCAGTGAGTGTTTAAATACAAAGATTAAGGCCGGCCTTAGCCTTAGGGGCTGAGTAATGCTGCATGATGCAGAGGAGCTTTGCGTAATGTGTTTATAAAATTTCTAGAGGCCATCCAGACAGAGAAGAAGAAACCCTTCAGGGAGCGTGATGCATTCTAACCCAGGAATTTCCAGAAGAGAGGATGAGTGTGGCATACACATGCATGTGAGGAGAAGGAAAAGACCAGACTGGGGTTAGAAGAGGTGGAAGTGGTCCTGTGTGATTAAGGGAAGTGTTTGGGTGGTGCTGGATTAAAGACTGAAGATTGAAAGAGACTGTGAAAGTGCAAGAAACGCTTGTTTCTAGGGTATATCAGAAAATACCATTTTATATTTTATCACCATCCATTCCCACTTGTTCTTCTGTTTTTTTTTTCTTCTCTCAGATTCCTTGGAGCCCACTTACCAACAGCTTCAGAAGATGAAACTGGACAAGAGTCCCTTTGTGGTCGTGTCTGTAGTCGGGCAGGAACTCTTGACGGCTGGTCATCATGGGGCCTCCGTGGTCGTCTTAGAAGCCGCTCTGAAGATTGGCACCTGCAGCCTCAAGCTGAGAGGCTCCGTCTTCTCCGCCCTGAGCAGTGCTTACTGGTCCCTCGGCAACACAGAGAAGAGCACTGGGTACATGCAGCAGGACTTGGATGTAGCCAAGACCTTAGGTAGATTCTGCTTCTCACATTTCTTTCAGTGCAGAAGAGGAGGCCTCCAAGTTAGCTAGACTTGTATTGGGACAATACACACAATGAAAACGAAATGTATTTCTAGTAGTCTCTGTTTTAGAGTACTCCAACTTCAGAGTTCTTCATGTAGCAAGGTCTCGGGCCTCCCAAAAAGCTGACATGTGAATTAATGTATTCACTGTCCTATTCAGGGATTTAGACTCACAGATACAATTTCCCAAAAGATAGTATTGGTGGATGAACCTTTCATCTTTATTTTCCTTTGGCCTCTATTCACATAGACGGTCGTCATTTTGTTGGAGAAGACAATGTTCTGTAGTGGAGCCAGAGTGCTGTGTGATGTTGGGCAAGTTACCTAAACTCTCTGTGCCTTGGTTGCTTGTTGGTTGGTTGGTTTTTTGGTTTGGTTTTGTTTTTTTCTTTGTTAGAATAATTTATGGTTGCCATTTTCAGGTCTGATGTTCATAAGGTCTCTCTCTATGAGTCGTAGTCAGCTTGATGGCACCTCACAACAACAATTTATGACATGGTGGATGGCACTACGAGAAAAGATAAAGTGGTCCACTGTCAGCGTATTTGTAACTAGTGCTCATTGTATAATAGATCTGGACTCAAATGACTGAACCTGCAAGCTGGTGGTGGTTCGGGGGGTCATTGGCAGAGCAGCGAGGAGACGCTGCACAGCAGCTGGTTTGTGTCAAGTTCTTTAATCCCTCATGTCCAGGAGGCCAAATCCCTGACTTTAGTTACATGTTCTAGGTACTGTAACTGCTCAGATCTAGAGATTGAAGTTCTAGGATCATAACTCCTCATATAGAGTCTTGGGTATTTCCGCCCCCCCCCTTCCTGAGAGGAGTAGAGAGAAATCGTAGTAAGTAAACTTGTGGTTCTTAAATGGAGGTGGCAGTTACAGAGTATAAATTATGCTATCACTTACAGAGGTTCTATCTTTTTTTGTGTTTTTAAACAACTCAGGTGACCAGACAGGGGAATGCCGAGCTCACGGGAATCTGGGCTCCGCATTCTTCTCCAAAGGAAATTACCGGGAGGCTCTTACTAACCACAGACATCAGTTGGTGCTCGCCATGAAACTCAAGGATCGAGAGGTAGGAAGCTGATCTGCAGACCAAAAAAGAAAGAATAAAATTAAGTCTATAATCTCTTTCTCTGTCTACAATGTCTCAGATACATCAGGCATTGCTATGTAGCATGCGTAAATTTTGGGTATGAAGAGATAAGATAACTAAGACATGGTCCTTGACTTCAGGCGCTAACAACTTTGTAGGATATGTTGTTCTTTCCCCTCTCATATTATGTAGGAATATACATGTTTAAAATTAGCAAAAAGCCACACCACTGTCATATGATCACTCACTGACCAAGCATTACTACTACAAACACCCCATGCTGTTTCCTTGGTAGATTTTTAACTCAGGTGGTAGAAACTTGAGTCTGAGAGACAAGGGTTGTAATAAGAAGGAAGTATCATTTTTGTTTTTATTAGAGAAAAGAAATACTCTCTGAGTTGATATCCAGTGTGTACAGCAAGATGAGAAAGTGTGGGTAGAAAGCTTAGAGGGTGGAGTGTGAGTTAAAATAGGCTGAGAGGTGGATACTAGTTATGACACTTCCTGGCTGTGGAATTGTAAAGAAGTTACTACTTAACCCCTCCTTGCCTTTGTTTTCCTGTTGATGAAAGTGATCATGATTCTATTTCTTTCATTCATAGTTGTGGCAAGGTTATAAATAATTCATGTAAAAAGGCCACATAAGAGGAATTCTATATGTGGTAGCTTTTATTATCATTTTATTAATAAGAAAGGGAGGGTTAAGAACAGAGGTAACAAGTTTAGGATCAGTCTTAGCATTGAGAATTAGATGTGGTTACATGTCAGAATTTCACTGTGGATCATTGTAAAGATTAGTTCTATTACTTGAATAATCAGATCTCTGGAACATGATCAGGCACTATGAAAGAATGGGATGGCAAAGGCCTTTGAAATTAACCGGAATAGACAATACAATGGCCATGCATTTGTGGAAGTCGAAGGAATGATGCTTACTTTCCCCACCTGTTGACTCTTACTTTCCAAGCAGTTCTTATATGCCACATGATCTGTGTGTAAATAGTGCAGTGGACGTGAGAGCAGCAGTGCTTGACCTCACTAAATACACGCAGGGAAAGAATCCTCATGGGCAACGCCAGTAGCACCAGGACCATTCCGTTGAGATCAGTTATGTCCCCACAGCTCTACACTTTCTCGTGTCAGTCACTACCTTCATCCTCCCTCCCAAGGTGCTCATTCTTTTCTGCTGTTGTTGATGTGTGCTGTCGAATCAGAACCAACCCATCGCTGCCCTTTAAGTGATTTTTCAGAAGCAATAAATCACATGGGAGGAGATTGTCCATCCTTCTCGTGTGGAGCAGCTGGTGGTTTAAACTTCATGACTTTAAGATTGCAGCACAGCTTCTTACTACTAGACTACCAGAACTCCCTTTTCAACAAGGTTTGATAGTTTGTTGCAGTGGCGCACAGTGCTGATGATTATGGGGATTATTAGGGAAGTGATGGGTTACAGTACAGTTGGGAAACACTCAGGATACAAGGATGGGCTCTTCTCTGCTGTGCTGGCAGACAGGCCTTTCTCTGATCCTTGGCCTCATAGCGTTTCACTTTACCGTGCTCAGACAAGTGTTGCAAAGCTCTATGTGCCATCCCCCACTCTACCAGTAAGCCTAGATCTAAAAGCTCTAGCTCTGTGTGTCCTCAGGCCTAACTCCCTAGAAAGTGCCCCAAAGCACCTAGTTCACCAGCAGGTATTCAGATTTCTTACTCTGTGTTCTGGGAACCCACAGCTCTGTTTTACACCACTTTCTGGTTCTCCACTGCCTCTTTTGCTCCTATTGCTACTGCCACCACCTCTGCTTTTGTCTTTTGGTCCCATTCTATCTCTTCAGTGCCACACCTTGCCCTCTCGGTACCACCCCTTACCCTCTCTGGATCACACAGAGACCTGAAGTCCAAAGGATGTGCTGCAGTCTTGATGGTAGTGACACCCTCACTTTCCAGCCTCTGAGCTTGCTCATTGTAAGCCTGGTGGGATGGCAAAACAGACCAATCTCCACGTCAGCATTCTGCACAAGTTCTTTGTGTGGTCCCACCTGAAAGCAGCCATTTACTTTATTATTGGCATGCTGTCCTGTCTCTGTGGTGAGCCCCAAAAGCCTCACATTTGCATAAACCTACCCTGCCATATGGTGTCAGAGCCAGTATCTAGAAGAGTCATCCACTACTGAGTAACTTCTTTTTAAAAAAGTATTTCTTATTTTTTACTCATTGTTGCACATTTTCTCCCTCCCATTCCCCCTCCCCCAGCCCACCCTTCAACACACCCCTTGTTCTCATAATCATATATTCCTTTCAGACAGTTCTTCCCCTCATCTCTTCTATTGCAGTATTCATTATCCACTCTTTCCTCATTCTCCCCCCCAACTTCCCCATATCTATTCTATTTTATAACGGCAGTGTTATGCAGTATTTGCCCTTGTGTGACTGAGATATTTCACTCACTATAATGCCTTCCAAGCTTCCCATGTTGTATAATGTTTTATGTGTTTGTTGTTCTTCAGTGCTGCATAATGTTCCATTGTGTGAACGGGCCCATTGTTTTTCTGTCCATTCTTTTGTTGGTGAATATTTGGGTTTCTTCCTTCTCTTTGTTATTTTGAATAATGCAGCAATACACATGGATATGCATGCGTCTGTTTGCGTCACATCTCTGGTTTCTTTAGGGTATATTCCCAGTAGTGGAGATACTAGATCAAATGATATTTCTATTTCCAGCTTTTTGAGAATGCACCGAACTACCTTACATAGTTGTTTTACATTCCCATCAGTCATGACTAAGAGTTCCAATCTCTCCATAACCTCACCAGCATTTGTTTTTTGTTGCCCTGTTGAACTTTGCTGTTGTTGCTGGGGTGAGATGGTATCTCATATTTTTTTTTTATTTGCATCTCTCACATCTAATTTCTAAATGTTCAGGCAATGAAAAGAATCAAAACTTTAGAAGGAGATGCACTGTTGACCAGTTATGTATGATAAATGACTTTAAGAAACGAGAGCCAGATTTAACAACTGAAGTAGAAGTTTAAGATGGTATCATTTAGGGAAGGGACCAAAGAGTTGCCAGAGAGTAGATTCCAATGTCTAATAGACTCTGTGTGCATCAGAGTGGGTTTACAATGATTAATTTTTTTTCTTTTTAATGTCTTCAGTCCTGTCCTCTGTGGTGTTTCTGGGTGGACTTGAACCACCAACCTTTGGATTTCTGTTGTGGGCTGTCTCATGTTTTTTGGGTTCACTGTTGCCCCGTTCGTAACAGTCTTGATTCCTAGGTTGACTTGTAGAGTTTCTTATTTCTTTTCCTGTATATCTTCACTCTTATTTGCTCTGTAATTGTAGAGTACCATCCTTTTTTTTTTTAGAAACTTAGTTTTACTTTCTTATAATTTCTTTTAGCTTTTAAGGTTGTTTTTGAGTACTGCTCTTAATCAGCTGTCATTGAATCTTAGTAGAACTAAACTCCGTAAAGTTGAAAAGCTGTGGCTGACTTTTTGACAGTAGATTGCCAAGTAGTTTTTCCAAGGTGCTTCTGAAAGGCCTCGAACCTCCATCCTTGCTGCTAGTTGCCAAGCTCATCAACTCTGTGTACCACCCAGGAAATTTTGCTGCTAGTTGCTCTGGTAACCCAGAGGTGGCGCCTCTCTGGTTATTTGAATCAACTTGCTGCTCCACAGGACAAAAGTGGTCATTCTCCTCTTGTGAGATTTTAAATCCTCTGACAACGCTCTAGATGGTCAGCTATGAGTGGATTCTGACACAATAGCAGAAAGAGTGAGTTTTTACCTGTCCATATTTAACTGGTAGAGGGGTTTCAGGCCTTTTGTTCACAGGGTCGCTATGAGTCGTGCTTGACTTGAAGTCAATAAGCAGCAGCAACAACAACTACAATTAGCGAGAGGTATTTCTCCTATTTCTCTAAAATCAGCCACCATTTGATAAAAGTAGAGTTAATACTGCCTTGGAACTTTAAGAACACATAAAATGTCTAAATGAAACTATTGCAATAGCATGCATTTTGTTTAGGTTTAAAGTGTCAGTTGGCAAGTCTTCTGGGGTTTAACCGAGTTAATTTATGGAATGACTACTCATGAAGCATGGAATATGTGCAGAGAAGTTTGCTGAGGCTTTAGGGGTTTAGGGGTGTGGTGTGGGATCACTCCTCTAAGGGGTTTTTATTCTCTCTGAGGCGAAGCTTTGATATAACCAACATGTTAAAAACTGTGTGATGAATGTTCTCTGAATCACTACCAAGATTCTGGAATTCCAGAGGAGACACAGCATAATATAGACTTCCGACCAGCTTCTACTCGGGAGCCTGGTTTGTCCCAGCATTTATTATTTTCTTTTTATCTTTTTGTTATTTTTATTTGGGTGAAAGTACAAATCATTCTGGATTTTTTTCATTTAATCACATATTTTTTTCCTTACAATTGATTAAACGAATTGAAATTGACATGACACTCTGGTGGCCTGGAGATTAAGGAATTGGGTGGCCAACACCAACTGCTCTTGAGAAAGATAGACAACCTCCTTCCAAGCGATTCACAACCTCTGAAAATCCACTGGAGGACCAGCAGTGGGTGGCACGTAACATTACAACATACGTAATTAATTACAATGTCTGAGCAATCCTTTTTTTTTTTTTTTAGCAATCCTTATTGTATATTGCCTTTCCCTTCACTCAATTTACCTAGTCATTCATTTTTTTCCCCTTTTTAAAAAATTTTTATTATTTTGTGTGTGTGTGCGCCATCAAATCGGATCTGACTGGTACGGGAGGAGATTGGTCCTCCTTCTCCAGTAGGGCATCTAATGGATTCGAATTGCTCACCTCTTGAATTACAGTGCAGCTTCTTGCCACTAGACCACCAGAGCTTGCCACATTCATTCATTTTTACTCTTCCCTCCCTCCCATCCCATCCCTGGTAACCATCCAAGAATGATTCTATCCATGTGTAAACCTTTCCTGAGCTTTTTAA